GTTGAACAAGGGCTGAGGTCATAAGCTAGGTAGGGTTTAGGGTTTAGGGTTTAGGTGGTAGTTTCCCAAAATGAGGGGACCCTTATCTAGACCCCCAAATACTATAGTCCTTATTGTAGAGACCCCTAAAAGGGTACCCCTAATTTTGGGAAACACCCAGGTAGGACAAAGCTTGGGTCCTCAAAGGGTTATAAGGCGATAGTTCTTGGGTTTTATAGGGTTGTATGCGGGTATATGTGGATGTAAAGGGTTTACGGTTAAATGGAGATTCAGATGGAAAAGAGAACGAAAACTGAAAAGGAAACTGGCGTGACGCAGGGCCCAGATGCCAGTAGTGTTGCGTAACCAACTAGGTTTAAGGCCTTGAGGATTAAACCGTAAACCCTAAACCCTACACAACCCGAAACCCTAAACCTTGGGTACTGCCCCCCCTCAGTAACAGTTGGATAACAAGTATAATATGGTGATATATAGCCCCTAATAGGACCCTTAATATAGACGCCTACGGGGGGGGGCCTAAACTCTTACTCCTGCAAGCCCTTGACTGTTACTGGGTTGCGGCAGTACCCAAGATTTAGGGTTCAGGGGTCCCTTGAAGGGCCTGGGGATGCTCAGAACTAGGTGCATTTTGTCAGAGGTTTTAGGGTTTAGGGTTGAGGGTTCAGGGCTTTTGGTTTAGGGTTTAGGGCTTAGGGTTTAGGGTTTAGTAGGGTTTAGGGTTTAGGGCTTTAGTCAGGAAATTGTTTTGAACCTGCAACAGGGACTATTGTAGGTTGGGTACTGCTCCCCCCTCAGTAACAGCTGGATGATAATTATAATAGGGTTATACATAGCTCTTAATAGGACCCTTAATACAGACTGTTACTGGGGGGGGGCAGTACCCAAATTGTAGCCTCTTCTCAAAGAGGCCAGTACCCCTGAATTCAGGAAGATACCCTAAGTCCTGGGAGTGATCCGAGCATTTTTCAGGGTTTTTGCCTTACTTCCCTAAGCCCGATTTGGGGTTACTAGGCTAAAAGTCGCAGGTATGGTAAATTTCTGAAATGATCGGCCTAGGCCCATGCTACTAATTTTGCTATAGGGTTTGGGGTTTAGGGTTTTAGGTTAGGGTTAAGGGTTTACGCTGCTATTATTTTTCTGGAGGAGGTTGTGCCCAGGTTTCTGCAAAAGACACATGCCAAGACTGGCTGTCAGACTAAGACTGATGTGGGATTCAGTTTCTGAGATTGTGGCGTCAGGGTTCAGGCTTTATGCCGGTAAATGCCACTCACATTATCCGGGTGTAAGGTTTTGCACCTGGACGCCAGGATCTCTTCTGGGGCGTTATTCGCGTGTCCGACGGGCTGACACGTCCGGTAAAGTGTTGAATAACCCTAAGGGTCCAAGGACCCAAATAATGGGTTTTAGGGCCCAAATACCATTTAGATTATAGTATTTGGGCGCTAAAATCCCATTAATTATTTGGGTCCTTGGACCCTTAGGGTAACAGGCCAGCTTCGATGCTTGCGCAATGCAGCAGTGACGGAAATTTGAAAAAAGGTAGTAGCAGCGCCGCTTTTACTGGTGGAATGTAACTGTGCAAGTAAAGGTTCATGGTCTGCTCGAAATTTGAGTTTAACGTCATCACTTTCACCAACATGAAAGGACACATGGTGTACTTGGCCAGGGGAAGGACATAACTTCTTAATGTGGAGGACCTCATTGGCAGGCACAAGTCCTGTACTTGAGAACCCTGTTGTCTGGCTGCTGGTCAGTCTGGTCAGTAGAGAAGCAAGAGCGCAGCAGCAGAAAGATTTTCACGCAATTGCGTGCCTAGGTGCTCAAGGTGTGCTGGGCCACCAGTGTTGGTACTTGGACGAAGTAGAAACAGCACATCGGAGCATCAGCACCTACCAACAGCTGCATAGCAGTACCCTTCCCACTATCTGCTAGCCGGCAGCCTTGTCTTACTGGTGGCTAGTAGGGAATAAGAGAATATTCCCTATGTCATCTCTATATTGTCTATTTATAGTCCCTTTTTCCCTACTAGCCCCCAGTAAGCAGCAGCTCTTGTTTCCGGATGTATGGCTTCAGCAACCTGCACTGGGCAGTGTTGAGTTCCTTGCCGTTCCTAGGGTTCCTGCTGTAGCTCTGCACTGTGAGTTGTTTTCCCTGTACATTAAACGCCGCAACAAAACGAGTGTAGTGAACATTCTGCGTCTGATGCTAGCCATTAGTTTTAGGAACGTGCATTTATTACAAGGATTTTAACTGCAGACTTCTTCAGCAAAGGTCCACATCTGGACCTCGACCCGGGTGCCCAAAAGCATTCGTGGTGCGGTCAGCAGAGACTGTGTCGACTACCTCTTAGATGGGCCCCCAACTTGTAAACCTGTGGTGTTCTGGAAGTGCGACTGCTAGGTGTGGAGCTTTATCCTTTCCCCGAATACTGATGTGCAACATGTGGGGATGCTGCCAAGGGGCGGCTACTGTGATTGGAGGGCACTAGTGACTCTTATTACCACAGTTCTTTTTGTTAGCGGTATTGTTATTGTTATCATTGTTGTAACTTCTAGTGCTGCTACTACTCATCCTAACGTTACGGCTATTCCCTTAGCACTAAACCCTATCCCCTAAAACCTAAACCCCTATTACTATCGTTGCCATTATGGAGAACAGCAGGCCTCCAGTCGTAGGTAGTCTGCCAGTTCAGTTCCAGGTGGCAGCCGTCGAGCTATGCCAATGAAAAGATTAGCAGGGTTCAGGATTCAGCGCTGAAAGAAATCCTGCACATGGTTCTTGCTTTCCAACTCTGTAGAAATGGAAATGATGTTTTAAGCGGGTACAACAAGGTCATGGAGGGTTCTCTCCATCAGCAGTACTGCCGTTACTGCAGCAAGGTCTTGGAATTGGAAGCGCAGAAGTTCATGGACCCAAGTTACGACTCGTACGACTCCGAACCTCTCAACCTCTAGAGTCCGGTTTAGGGTTTAGGGTTTAGGGTCTAGGAACTCTAGAGTGCTGAGCAGCCCATGAAGACCATCGGTTATACGGTTAGACTGGCAACCCGTTCGAAGGGCGATGCACGGATGTCAGTAACAATGTGGTGATTGTTAATTGCCACATGCAATTCTGAGTACAAGGTGTGTCCTTTTTTCGAGGAAGGATGGCTTGTCATCCTCACTTCGCACGCCACCATTTATTTCAACTCCCAAAGGAACCAAAAACGGAACTCTCAATGTGCTCACGTTCATGACGAGGAGATTGAATCTAGGTCGTCTTTGGTAACGGTACTACTAGACCTTGAATTACCAATTACGTTGCATACAATCAAGGAAATTAATTTCAGTTGCCATTATGTGGGTATATAGTAAGTATATAGTAGATAATGGTCGTGCTCGTTATAGCAATGTTATTAAGTTCCTGAACAGCAACCCAGCAAAGCCGCTCCCCCGGGCCCCAGAGACACCTAGAAGCCTTGTCTCAACACATTCCCTTGGCCGCGCGTTTCTCGGCTGCAGCGGGACGACGGCCGCGCAGGCCCCTCGCAGGCGCTTGGGTTGGGTTTTGGGGTTTTGAGGTAGACCTGGACCTTGCAAATACCCAGAATAATGGCGCTTGATCGTAACATTATCGGTAGTTTTGGGATAGTTTTGACTTTTGGGAGGTCCAGAGGTGGGGCTCATTTCAACTTGTGCATGCTTAGTTGGGATAAGGGAGCAGGCAGTGCAGGGATCGTTGAAGGGCATCCTGTTGGGAGGATTTCTGAGCCTGTTCGGGGATCCTTCTGCGGGTTGACGGATTAGGCTTGTCCGGCTTCGAGGTGTAATGCTTGCTTTCTACGCGCTGTGCCAGGAGTGTCCTTTGGCTTGCGTCAGCTGACATTCTTCTGCGAATAAGCGAAACGGCTTTATAACCCATGTCGGATGAAGACTTCCCTTTTTTGCTTCCTGCTGCGGGTGTTCCAGTACCGCTGGCATCAGCAGTGACGGTGGCTTGCTGAGCATACGGTACAGGCTTCAGGCAGCATGCGGGGCTTTCAGAACCGATCTATCTAGATTTCCTAAATGGCCAGGAAGGCTCTGTCCAGAGTAAACAATGTGACGAAGTTTGCAGCTGGGCATACTTTTGATATCGCCGCAGCAGTCAACATAATAAGCACTTCCGTGGTTTGCTCATCTTTCTGGTAGTTAGCAGGGAATAGAGGAATATAAGTCCCAAAATACTGTATTCTCTTTTTCATTCTTTTTCCTTACTTACCGCCAGGAAGTCATAGAAGGCAGTCTTGACTGACTTGAGGCCGCGGTTTCAGATTCACTTAATGTTTGGGGGTTTAGCAGTTGAGTACAGGCCAGCAAGTGATAGCCACTGGTGAAGGGCAAGAGAAGGCCTTCATTCATGGCTGTTCATAAATAATCCTTGGTTGCTGGGAAGGAATTCAAACAAAGTCTTCATCATGGGAGAACCATATTTTTTGCTCTATACCCATAATGGTAGCTTAATTTAAGCTCCTTGACAACAACCCAGGATCAAAGGCTGCAAGCCCCCGCCAAGTTTTGTCCACGAGTCTTGCCCTATGAGGTACCTTTGAGTCAGGTAGTATAGGGTTTAGGGTTTCGGTGTACATTCCCCTAACATTTTGCCAATTCTAATCCTATTGTGAGCCTTTGTAAGTCGATTCCCTTCCCCACTAGTAATTCAAGGGTCCTTCAAAAACATATGGGGGTTTCCTAAAATTAGGAGTACCTTTTTGGGGGTCCCCATAATAAGGACTATAGTATTTTGGGGTCTATATTGGGGCTCCTTATTTTGGGAATCTACCATATTGATAAGGTTACTAGATAGCGGCTGTACCCAAGCTCCTGAGTTCCTCGACCGAATAATCCCACGGTTTAGGGTTTAGGGTTTAGGGTAGGGTTTAGGGATTAGGGTTTAGGGGAACCCTATAATCCCTAGAAGTTTTTCCTGAACCCTATGCCCTAAACCCTAAACCCATTAACCCTACCCAGACGGATGTGCAGGTCACCTAACTCACGCGACACTTTTACTTGTGGCGTCAGGGGCTCAGTTGGGGCTTCGAGGTTTGGAGTGGTTTTGGGCTTGTAAGGCTTAGGGTAGGGTTTTGGGTTTAAGGCTTAGGGTCTAGGCTTTAAGGTGTAGGGGTTTAGGGTCCAACTTTTTGGTGGTCTAGGGTGCGGTTTGTCCTCATCTTCAGCCTCGAAGTTTTATTTTCAGCTGACAAGAATCCAAATATACCACCTATATATCATATATAGTAGTTTGTATTTTAGTTTCCACTATCCCTATATGAGCCATTGTCTAAACTCCTAGTATCCCCCTTAATAAGCATTATAGTAGTTCCCTATATAATCCCCTATATAACCCCCCATTAAGGAGTTTAGAATATCCTCAGTGGTTGGGAGCTGTGCTTCCCATGTGCCACCTGGAATCTGAACCACAACGCCTTCAAGTTCTTCCCTATGAGGCTTCTCTACCGCCCCTTGCTATTCTACAGCCCCTTGATTTAGGGTAGTCGTTTTGCAACTTTACTTACTCGGCTACTAGGCTCCCTTATGAACGGGCTTTCCCAAATTCGAAACCCTAAACCCTAAACCCTAAATTAGATCAAGCTGAAACCCCCATGGACCTTGTCGTGGCAAGCGTTGGCCGCCTGAGAGGGCCGCCCAAATTAGGAGATACGAGAATAAGTACTGAAATTAGAGGCCTAAAAACTTGTCAACATTAATAGCTCCTTGTGCCCAAGCTCTCTGTGTTCAGAGACATGTAGAGCCCTTGAAACCAGAAACCCAAGGCCTAAACCCAACCCAGCTCCCCATTCTCCGAGCCCAAAAACCAAATACCCAAGACTACGCATGGCCCCCTAGCGGAGGCCCGTAACAATCTTGGGTCCGTAAGTACCTCGTGTACTACACGCATATGTACCGTTAGGCTTGTTAGAACCGCCTTTAGCAAGGTCACAGGCGCATGGGAGGACTCTCAACCTTAAATCATGGGTTCCCCTACTACCCCCCGTCTATACTACTCCCTCCTACTTTCCAACTTTATTGAGGTTATTTAGGGATAAAGGGATAACTCGGCCTTGCTAATGTTAATTGTGGGGGAACCTAGGAGGGAACTAGAGTCGGGGTGGTGGGGAACCCACGAGTAGACCCCACCCAGGCTCTGTTGGAAAACGGGGCGCCGCTTTCCATATTGGTTTAGCGAAAGCATGCAGCCACTCGTCATGCAGCGTGATCGATTTTGCAGGTTTTAGGGTTTAGGGTTCAGGGTTTGGGTTCCAGGGTTTGGGTTCCAGGGTTTGGAATTCAGGGTTTAGGGCTTTGGGTTTCGGATTCTGTCGTCCTAAGCGGAGTTAGGATACTTTGGGTACTGCCCCCCCTCAGTAACAGTTGGAGAATAGCTATAATATGGTTATATATAGCCCTTAATAGGACCCCTAATATAGACTGTTACTGGGTGGGGGCAGTACCGAAAGGATACGGATGGAGGCCAGGGATGTCGTCCAATGATCCTGGTTCATCTATATACTGAGGTCGCTTTTTTTGCTTAGGGAAACTCGCTGACTTACTTGTTTAATCAGGGTTAAGGGTTTGGGGTTTAAGGGTTTAGGGTTTAGGGTTTCGGGTTTAGGGATTTACCCCCAAGAAATTTTTATTAAGTACCAGTATAGGACCCTGATATAGTTGGGGGGAAAATTTGAGTACGCAATGAGGGGTGGAGGGGCCTCATCCTAAGGGGGGAGGGCCCGGGGAGGGGGTTATATAATAAAGATACCCGGCTCAATCACTTGAAGTTCTGCGCATGCTTGTTCCGGCAACCATGTTTCTTGCTGTCATTTCCTGGGTAGACCTCCCACCCTGTAATGGCCCTGTAATAGTGATAGAATAGGAATATAAGAGGGCCCCAATAAAATCCCCATTATCCCTTTTAGTCACTATAACTGGGTGGGGGTGTCCATCTAAGTAATTGTCCCTTTGCCTTAACCCACAGCCCCATAGAAGTGAGTCCTAACCCACACCCCTGCATAGCAGCATATTCCTGAACCACAAGCTCCGAATTCAATTCAAGGCATCCTTCTGAACCCTAAACCCTAAACCCTCAACCGTGCAGAGGGCTCTATTTGTCTCCTTGTGTCCTCACCGCAACCACAATCCTGACGCTTATGGAAACTGCGGCATCCCAACCCCTGCATGCCCGACATTTTTCGCAATTTTGCAATCCGTAGCCTTATCTGAAAGTCTCCATACCTGGAGATCCCTAAATCCTGAACCCTAAACCCTAAACCTTAAACCTTAAACAGAACCGTTGTGAAATCCCTTTACATCAGCCTACGCTTGCTACAAGTCCGCTCCTCGTCGCTAGCTTGAGGCTGACAGAGTCCCGGACGGCGGGGGCCTCGCCAAAGTTGTCCAGCATCCCATTTCGGTTGAGGGTTGTAGGGTTGTAGGGTTTAGGCTTTGGGGTTTAGGGTTCAGGGTTTAGGGTTCAAGATAGCATGTTTACACCTCAAAGGGGACGACATGGGAGTATCATGGCTTAAGCCCCAACCCCCTCTAAAAACGCATTGAAAAGCTGAAGCTTCATTGCTGGCTACCTAAAAATCATGGTGCCAATGGCCACAGACCCCAGCGACAGCATGGACATCACGCGTAGATGTAAACTACACCCGGAACCCAAGGCCCGTAGACCCGAAACCCGAGGGTCAGGGGAAGCCCTTAATTACCCCAGTTATCCCCCTTCATTAGCCTAGTGACTATGTGTCTAAACGATACATCCTAAACCTTACACCCTGAACCCGTCGTGGCTTCTGATGGAAACCTGCTGTTTCTGCTTCGCAGTTGGACGTTCCGGATTGAACCTTGCGATGCTGCCTGAGCCATGCAAGTGGCAAAACCCTGAACCCTAAACCCTAAACCCTAAACCCTAAACCATAAGGCCTACATCCTACATTTCTGAGGGCCATCAATCTGCAAACCCTAAGCCTGATGAATGCGTAAAGCCATCGTTTGGATTTTTGCTTCACATTGTTTACTGGTTCTAAGTAGGGAATAAGGGAATTGATAACCTAGGGGTTATATGGACTATATTCCTTATTCCATACTAAGAACTAGTAAGTTTAAAATGGGGGAGCGCCGAGTTCGAAGCAGACTTCTGTGGAGGCCCACATGGGCGCTTCCCAACAGCAAGCGTACATAACATTTTGAGGGTTCATATACTCAGGATGATAGTATATTGGAGTCTATATCGGGGTCCATGTATGGAAACTGCCACATAGCTTGAAGAAGCGCCACTTGCTCGTCATCCACAGTTTGTTTGAGGCACAGCCATTTCTGGATCTCACAAGGCCGTGGCTCCCTTCAACTTAGTAGTTAGGGTTTAGGGTTTAGGGTTTAGGGATTCAGGGTTTAAGGATTTAGGGTTTAGGGTTTAGGGTACCAGATGCAAAAGGGTCTAGGGTTTAGGGTTTAGGGTTGTGACTGCATGATACAGATCCCTTCGGCAGATTCCATAACGGCTGCTATGTGGTTCCACGCCTTCTTTCCCATCAGGCACCAGGTGGATGCACATTCAGCACACATGCCAAGCGCTCGTTTGGAGTGGCTAGGGCTAAAATCCCGCTCTCTCCAGAAATGCCCTTCAGAGGATGCTCGCACTACGGTTGTGGTGCTGCTTGGTCAGGGAAAAAAAGAGACAGAAGACAAAGATTTGCCAGACACACCCTTGGGCGCAACTGGTACCTTCATCGAAGTGCCTGCAGAGAAGACCTTGGCCAGAAGTGAAAGAAGTGTGCGGATGCTTGTTGGGGTTGATGGTTGATGGTTCGAATCCACGAGGCTATGTCCATGGTGGGCAGAATAGCTTCCTTGTTTTTTTGAGAAGTCTAGCCTCGTCCTCACAAGCACGGAAGTACCTACCACCCAAATCACCCAAACCCTCCAAGAACATGATTTGTTCTAGGAACCCCTTCAAAAAGCTCTCCACACTTTTCAGAGCCCTAACCCCTATAACCTGAAACCTCATCAAACCACAGACATTGTGGAGAGGAAATCTTACACCAGCTCCTTGTGCCTAATGTATATACACCAAGACTTACAGCGCTTTGGGGATGAAATGGCGATATATGTATACATATATATATATATGGGAATAGGTGGGGATGATAAAATGGCAGCTATTAAAACACATGGGTCATGTGGGGATGATAAGACATTAGAAGCTACTATATTATAATAGGGTATATATTTTAGGTGGACCCCCCACCCAGTAATAGTGACTAGTATGGATAATAAGGATTATATTAGGGTCCTCTCATATTCCTATTATACCACTATTGGGGAGTCGTCCTGATTGATATGTATATATATATATATACATATATATTGGGGTTAGTGGGGAACGCGGCAAGATTTCCTTTATCCGGCCCAGGCAGGTGCCGACATTCGGTGCCGTGTTCTCCTCAGCAGCATTCGTTGCGGGGTTCACGAGATTGTGGGTTCCATTGTGATTTTTACATGAGCTATAGTCTAAACTCCTTACAGGGGGGTTATATGGGGGATTATATAATTAGGGGACTACTATAGGGGTTATTAAGGGGGATACTAGGAGTTTAGACAATGGCTCACATAGAGATGATGGAGGTGGCTTAGTGAAGATGAAGGGTCAGTAGAGGGCTTGAAGCAGAGGATTTCACGAAAATCTTGGGTCCATCCCTTTTACCCAACACACAGACGGTCCTTTTCGGGAAGCGCAAGCAGGGAGATAGGATGCAGCCACATCATTGGGGAAAGCTGCTCTTCGCACTTCCGTGGGGCTACCCTTTACTTACTGGTGCCTCAGGAAGAGTGGGGGAGTCGATCCCCATACCAATCCTATATGATCCCCATATATACCCTTGTTATCATGCCTATATTCGCTTCTCCACTCTCCCGTCGAGCACCAGTAGGTTTCAAGTATTATTCCACTGAGAGAAGTAGTCTAGTGTCTTAGTCTTAGACATCATAGTGAAGTTTGTACCATGACCTTCGCCAGATGCTTCTCATTCCTTTGTAGTCCCATAAGCCCCTAGGTACCCAAATCTAGCCGTAGCTTCAGAACTCCCAAATTGACGTGCTAGCTTTCTTGCATATACCTCTAGGTTGGGAAAAGCAAGATGGACTTTCGGTGTTCATGGAGGGCGTGCTTGGACAGTCGGGGTGGGGGAGACTTAGTGAGTGTACTTATAACCTATTCAGGGTGTAGTGTTTATAACTCCTATAAGCCAGAGAGTATTAAAATCAACTTACTTTCGCCGGACCCTTCAAGTAGGCAGATAACCAAAAACCATACACACTAAAGTGTGCGCACTTCAGGCACCCTTCCTGCTTCAGCCAGCTTCCAGTGGGTGCAGCATATGGGGCTTCCCCAAATCAAAGGGTCCCTTTGTGGGTCCCTATGAGAAGGATATATGGGTGGTTGTCAAAATTATGGTCCTTTTTTGGGTACCCCAAATATTAGGGGCCGTATTATAGTAGGGATCCAAAAAGGGACCATAATTTTGACAACCAACCATATAGTATTTGGGGCTTATATTGGGGCCCCATATTTGGGATTACCATATCTAGAAGCTCTAAACTCTTTACTATAAGTGCCTAAATAAGGTTTAGGGTTCAGGGTTTAGGGTTTAGGGATTAAGGTACTAAATAAGTTTGAACATTGGTGCCCTAGATTCCTTGTATGATGATCGTATAGGGTACCTCAAAATCGATATCAAAGTGCTAAGCAAAACCTTGACATCCCAAATGCTTAGAATGATAGCCTATCTTCTTCTAAAAACATGGGTATGTTTGGGAGGACCCCCCTGTAACAGTGACTCTAAGGGATAATAAGGATTATATTAGGGTCCTGCTATATTCCTACGGTATGTAGCTATTATGTCTAGGTATCGTCCTTATTGCCCTAACCTGATCGTAAGTCCTAAACCCTAAAACCCTAAACCCTAAACCCCTGACCGCATCCTAAATCCTCCATATATCTACGTATTGAAAGGGCTTTGACCTGTTCCCAAAGCCTGAAGTTTGAGAATCCCTTCTGGAAATTCTTCAGAGAGGTAGCCTGGGGGTCTCTTTTAAGGGGGGTTTCTAGGGGATATGTGAGGTTTATGAGGGTTTATGGATATGTATGGGGATGGGGGATGTAGAGAGTTTTAATGATTTAGGGTTGGGTCTATGGATTTATATGACGCCAAGAATTGGGAATGGAAAAGGAAATAGGAACCAGTGTTATAGGGAGGCTTAGAGGGATTAGGTCTTTCGAGCTCCTATATAATTCAGGTTGGGCCCCCTAAACCTTACACCCTAAGCCGCGTAGGAATACGTAGGAAACCTTGCGGTCACTAGGAGTGGGTGGGGGCCCAGCCGAATAGATGATCAACAATCTGATGAAATCGGCTTGGTCCCCTATATATCTCTTCAAAAACCATGTGATTCCCAGACCCCTGCCCTACATCCTAAGGCCTAAACCCTGGGGCCTAAATCTAACTCTTCATATTTGTATGTTCCGTAGATTTTGCCCTAGTCTGAGATTCCCCCAAGCCCTGAACCCTAAACCGTAAACCCTGACCTCCCCACAAATCCTGGACGCTTTCAGGTCGTCCGGACCGGCGTAATGGAACGTCAACATCTTCCGGGGCTGGTAGTCAGGTGGCTTTATCCACAGCTTTGATGGAGTAGATCTGTTGGGTTTTGGGTTTTGGGTTCAGGGTGGATGGGCAAAACCCTGCCAGACCCAGGCATGCTATGCCACCACACTTCTCAGTATTCCGGGCATGTAGAGTCATGCAGGATTTCGTCCGCCAACAGCATCTCGAGTGGTACAAGGTTTAAGGCTGTTGGTTCAAGGTCCAGTTGAAGTAGAATGTTGAATCAAACAGGGTCTGCGGTTCGGGGATCAGACTTGACTTCGAGTAGTATCTTGAATGGCCCAGGGTGTAGGATTTTGGAGTCAGGTTTGATGGTTTTTTTTTTTGTTCTGTAAGGCCACATTACAGGGCAGCCCCATCGACTGTGCCGGTGAGAGACATCACTTGCTGGGGTGACTGGGGTATTTCCTTCTTCATGTAAGATTAGCTATCCTAAGCCCTGAGCCACTAAACTCTAAAACACATGTTTAAGAGGATGTCAGACAAACTAGTCCTGGTGATTAGGTACACGTCAAGGATCTCTTGCAATGGCAAGATGGTATGACTTTCCCTAATAAGAAGTTGTTACCGAGGAGCTACCTGTAGCAAGGATAGACGTAGCTTATACTTCAAGCTCTGAGCTCTAGGTCCAGTTATAGGCCCTGGCATGTAGCCACAACTGCCAAACCCTTTTTCCTCCATTCTACTTGTCATTACCTCTCGGCCCTAACCCTGAACCCCTGAATAATACTTTCCATGTCATTTTCCGATTTTTCATTACCTTGTTATACCCGAAACCCTAAACCCCAGTGTCTAAAACCCTATACCCCATGCATCCTCCATAACCCTCTTAAAGGGACCCTAAACCCTAAAAACCCTAAACCTTAAACCCTGAGACCCCTAACCCTAAAGCCATTCTGCCAGGCAACTCTTTCGATGCACCGAGCCCTCTTCATACTCTCCACATGCCGGAGTCCTGGGGCATGGAGCTACATAGGGCTTAGGGTTTAGGGATTAGGGTTTAAGGATTTGGCCTTAGAGCTTTGGGTTTAGGGCTTGGGGTTTAGGGATGAGTGTTTCGGGATTAGGGTGTAGGATTCCGTCTTTTTGTATGCTTTTGGATTTGTAGGGAGTACCTGCCACCTCAATTACCTAGGCTGGGAATTACCTTCAAACTAGTACGTATAGCCATAAAGTGCATGCTAGTTTCCAACTTGCTTTTCATGTATCCTATATGTCCCCTATTTGCTCCCTGTCGAGGGTATTAGGGATACAGAGAAGTTGTGGGACACAGAGCATCACCGTAAAATCCTGCTTAATTGCAGCTGCCTCAGCATGAGCTGGACTCAATACGCTTGACCCTGCATGAGCCTCAAATCATTACACCATCATATGAGTTGTAGTCTAGACTCCTGAAATTAAGGGCATACATAGGAGATTATATAGGGGACTATTATGGGGGTTATTACGGGGGATACTAGGAGTTGAGACTATAGCTCATGTCTCCCAAGGTTTAGGTATGTTGGGTTCTGCCATGTTTTGTCCACCAAACCATGTGGGCTACCTCACCGGAAGCCGAAGATACTCGTTCTGGGGCTGAGGGATTAGACAGGCTTTGGGCAAGGGTTGGGTTGGGCAGGTCGGTTTAGGCAGCATTCCGAAAGCCGCGATAATGGGGTCCACAGACTTAAGAGTGGATTCCTCCTTCCCTGCTTGGCAGATTACAACAGGGTTTCTCGGGGCAAGACATGGGGATGTCTCATGATCTAGTTCTGGTCCCACGTGCCTCATCATACGTGGAGGCATGGACAGACAAGGATCCTTAGTTGTGTCTGCGAGTGTATTGGCTCGGGTGATTGTTCCTATAGATAAACACCTTTGACGCCTGGTCTGTTACCCTTCGCAATCCCTAGACTCTAGCTACTCTAAGGCTCTAACAGGTAGCGCTGGTGCAAGAAGGAAGGGGGCCTTCTTTCGAAAAACCCATGTCAAGTCTTTTCAAAGACCTGCCTTTTTTTTGAAAAAATGTCTCCGCGTATAGGCCCGAAACCATGACCTAATTCCAGGTACGGGTACTTCCGCAAACGTGACCGTCGCATACCCCCAAAGATGAAGAGTCGTATTATAGGGACCCCAACAGGGGCTCTGGTTTTTGGATACCCCATGATGCCCCTCATATTGTTTCCAGGCATAGCTTCTTCAATGGCCCTGCCCGGGCCTTGGAGGAAGATCAGCCAAACTTTGGCTGAGATCTACCGCTTTCAGCAGTGGATCTGGGATGTTTGATGCATGGGCTTGTAGTTGCAGATGGTGAGTTAGGCGTACAAAGTAGAAGCCCGAATAACGACCAATGTTACAGTATGGTCGTAGATCTTCTAGAACTGTAATTCTATAGGGTACCTTAAATACTTGTTTATGACCCTACAACATCTGACGTACGGTGGGTATTGAAAGTCCTGCATGACTATGAGTGCCTTATAGCCTTGGAATTAAGGTACTATAGTATATTCAGCTCCTGCAGGATTTTCAGTATCACAGTTACTTATGGGGGTTAGTAGGGAATGAGGGAATAGAGTATCTAGGGATTATATTCCCCTATTCCCTACTAAACCCCAGTAGGATTAAAAGGGCTTCGGGCTGCCTTTTGCATCAGCTTTGGAGTTGTAGGATTTGATTCAGGTAGTGGAAGTCCGGGGCTCAAATCTGCTATGTTATTCAGGGCTTTTGCCAAAACTAGGGGGGGCCCTTTCCAGGGATCCTTGCAACAAGGGTTAGAGCATTTTAGGGTCAGAATTTATTAGCGTCTCCTCTTTCTGGAAGTTATTGTTATTCGTGTGAGCAGAGGGAGAGGTCCAGATGCACTTGTTCCAGAGAGAATACGTATTGGGTCCCTAGTACAGTACTGCCCCTTATATGAAGAGTACCCCGCAAAGGGCCATAATTTTGATAGCCCCGCCATATACTCTCCGGGCTGCCTGTCATTGACGAAGGGCTTAGTAAGCGGTTTAGGGTTTAGGGTCATGAAGCTGCAGGCTACTGCGCGACAAGGTAGCTTCACACGTTAGCACTATGTTTTGGACCCTTGTGCTGAAGGTTCATGGGTAGCTGTAAAAGTGGGCATTACGTATCTGCAAAATCTGAGTAGGCTTATCCTGCTTGTAAACGCATGCATAGCCAGCCATGAGCCTCTAAGTATTATGTAAACGAACCCAGGTCCCCCTTGCAACTTGATTGTTGAGGGTTTGTGGGTCCATTGGGTTCAGAAGTTAAGACTCAAGGACTTCTGGGTCACGGTTTTCTAGTTTTTAGGATGCCTACGGTGGTGCCCAATCGCAATAAGGATATTAACTCTGATGCTTAATGGTGTTGCAAGCAAAACAGGCCATCGCATGCGCAATCCCGTGGCCGAATTCACCTCGAGGCCTTTGCTGAACATGGTTCTTGAAAGGGCACAAGCCACGGGTGTGGGTGGTTGGCGGCTTAGGGGTAATCGCCAGAGATTTTTGGGTCCAGGGGTCAACGTGCAACGATCCAGCTTGGCGTTGGTGTTGGATGCGTGGCGCTTGGAGTAGCACGACTACGCTAGGTGGTACGGGCTGAATAGTTGAACTGTTCTCCCGAAACAAGAACAAGTATCTGAATTGTAAGTTCCATGAGACGCAAGTCTTACGAGCTGTTGACCAACGGACATACAGGTACTGCAACTCTTTTTTCTCCGACTGGCATGCAAGGGTGCGGCTGCCAACTGTACGGTCCAGGGCTGTAGCTGTTTGCAGCTCATTATTTCTGGTGTTATTGCAATTTTTGTTGTTCGTTCGTATATTTGGTAAAATGGTTTTTGCTGCCATCAGCAATGAAGCCGCCATTCTCGTAAGGCAGTGCCAACCTAGTACCGCTCTGAGTGGAGCTTGAGGGAGTTCATCAAGACTCAGTTAGGGAGGATGGTATCAGAGTTCTTGTGTGTTGGGCTCACTAAGCTTGCATGTGGGTTTTGGTAGCCAAGCCTCAAAGTCAGGACCCAGTGACTGTCCCATGACTGTCATAGGGGCCCTAATCCCTAAACCGGGCATGGGCATGATTGGGCTAACCAAAACCCTCTCATGACAATCCCTCTATGATGGGGTTATATAGGGGTTATACAGGGGTAATGGAAAAGAAGATGGAAACTACTGCTATTTAGGGTTTGGGATTTGAGGTTTAGGGTTTAAGCCGTATATACACCCAGTTTCCATGATATGCCATGTTCTCTTCCATTCGGCTCCCCATTACAGTCCGTGTGACAGTTTGACCTAAAGACACCAGCATCCTAAGCCCTCAGCCCTATGTCACCCTAAACCCTGAAACCGATATCTGCTTCGGGGGGGAAACCCTAAAACTTGAACCCTAAAACCTAAACCCTTAACCCTCTCGCGTAGGCCTAGGGGCTCTACCACGGAGTTCACACAGGGGTCCCTTTTACACACAGCAAGCACAAACAAGAGAACAAAGAAGGTCCGAATTCTACTCTACAATCTCTACATCTTTAAAATTAAATGCCGTGTGTCGCCAGGGA